TGGGACGTCCGGCCCTCGGCTGGTATCGGTGTTAGAGTGAGTTTGCGAAATTTGTGGATCCGCGGATTTCCTAGGGAATCCGCGAAGTCCCTAGTGGCTCCGCGGATGAACATCAAGTCTAGTATATTCGCGGATAAACGGGCGGGGATCCGCGGATGAACAAGACTCTTCAGGATAACCGCGAACTCCCTGAAGAGTTGACGAGATCCGCGAACCACCCGGGGAATCCGCGGAGTATCGATTCATTCTAGTGAGTTTGCGAAGTTCCTATGCGTTTCATACAGCTATCTAGACTAGAATGCATGAGATATTGGGTAGATCATCTGCGACTTAACCCGCGCCCCGTTGGGGTCTGCCGAGCAGCGCGCCCTGTTGGGGGGGAGGGGGCATTCCCCCCTAAGATCTCGAGAACCACGTAACATAGCGACAAGCCGCAAACGCTGTTGGATAGCCCCAGCGGGGAACTACCTTGTGACCCAATTCCATTGACCTAGGTCAAAGCGATAACGTCACAGGTCAGGTTGAATGTCGAATTTTCACCGTTTACAGGCATTTGAAGAAATGTGTTGTGCTGGTAAAATCGAGTAAAATGCATGTCACTGAAAATCAACGATGGGGAATTGTTCTTCAAACACATATTTTGCTAGTTGAGGTCACTGATGCCAGGTCAGGTCACAGAGGGTCACAATATGAAAATATCATGTGATGCATGTTTTATGGTCCATTTTACATGACAAATGCGATTATGTGGGTAAGGCAGCCTTTGGGGCCAGTTTAGGTTATGCTCTGGTGAAGGTCAGGTCAAGGTCAGGTCAAATTAGCTCAAATTTCAAAGTTGATATTTTTGCGCGGGTTGATAGGTACGTGTTGGGTTCTCGTATCGGAGTTCAGCATTGCCCCTCCAGTCCAAATGTTCCCCAGAATAGATATACTGTGGCGCCGGACTGGAGCGGCTGTAGGCGCGGTGCTGACCGGTCGGGTCAGGTCGGCTGTGGCAAAAGGGCAAGTTGGGGGAGGGGGCAACTGCCCCACCAACTGTACATATGTACAGGAAGCTCCGCCCCTGAGGAAGAATGAGCATTACTGTTATTCATACACACTTGCATGCATTCACATGATCGCTCAGATGCCTTTCCAGCTTTCCATTCATGGTTGGGAGCAAAGTAAGCAGACTGGTCGCAGAAGTTCAACCACGCCAAAAATGGCTTACCGTCTATTATCTAATTGTATATTGATATTTGCGAGCGACGTCTAAGCGAGATGAAAGAATAATTCGCAAACTCACTGGAATGAATCGTTACCTACTCCGCGAATTCCAACAGCAACTGGAAAAACACCAATACGGGCGAGGGTTAAGTCGCAGACGATCTAACCAATATGCCCTTGCATTCTTGATTCTTGTCATAAGATAGCTGCATGAAACGCATAGGACCTTCGCAAACTCACTAGAATGAATCGTTACTCCGCGGATTCCCCGGGTGGTTCGCGGATCTCGTCAACTCTTCAGGGAGTTCGCGGTTATCCTGAAGAGTCTTGTTCATCCGCGGATCCCCGCCCGTTTATCCGCGAATATACTAGACTTGATGTTCATCCGCGGAGCCACTAGGGACTCCGTGGATTCCCTAGGGACTCCGCGGATCCACCGATTTCGCAAACTCACTCTAACATCGGCACAGATCGGAACACGCTCTCGCATGCTGACATTCTGTCCAAGAGCGTTTATTTTGCTAAATGACATTGAACAACGCATTTCATCTATCCCGAAATCAAATAGTTTATAACACAGTCCAAACCACCGAACCTTTTCTACAGGTTTCATCCGATTCGCGCATCGCCAAAAAAGTTGCGACTCCTGCTATAAAGCATACGATACAGAAAACACCACAGTACTCTGAGTACGAAAAAATCCCTGGTCTAGGAGCCCCGAATACCAAGGGATGGAATAACGACCCTCCCACCTTCACCTGACACGATCGGACCAGAATCACAGCCTGGGTGAAAGAAAACACAGTGAAAACTGACCGATATCGTCGTTTCTGTTCGTATTCGGTACTCTCGAAGAACCAGCAGCCTTATTTGATGCGTTCGGCGACAGCTGTTGTGTAGCGTTCTGGCCCGAACTGAGCCCTTCGTCGGTGTAAGAAGCAGGCGATAGCTGTCTCAAATTTGATGACATTCGTGCTTCAGCATCTCTCCTCACGACGAGCAGTCGGCGTTCCATGACAGTTTCTCTCCTTTAACGAAAGGAAAAAGTCGCTCTAGTCAGGTTACATGTAACAAAACATCTTTTGTAGGCTGTTACGTTACGTGTCTACTGCTTACATATACAGTTAAAAACAAATATATGTGGCTTGCCTAAGGCTTTTTGGTGAACTTTATTCTAGCTCACCTGAAATCGTCGAGACCCTGGGCCATCCGATACAGATTGTTGGTTGCACAAAGCATCAGGAAAAAAGCAAAAGCAACACCTTGAATCTGAAATCAAAGGGAAAACATTGAGACGTCATACTTGATAGCCCTTACTTTTGTTAGAAAACTGAATGAGGATATAAATAAGACCCAGCGACGTCACACTTCTGTAAAATCTAGGACAAACGTTCGTCAGAGGCATTGGCTGCTTTAATTTTCATTATCAATTTCCTGATAACCTTCGCCGCAGTGCAGTGGGGGGGGGGGGGGGGCATATGTTACCACCCTGTCGCGTTTTTTGCGTGTGAATAAAAAACCGCGGCGCGTGGCGCCGCGCTGCTTGGGATAGCTTTTGGTACATCAATTTTGGACAATGTGTGAAATTTTTGACCCCAGGTCATGTCAGGTCAGGTCACCAGGTCAAGTAAACTGACCAAGCCTAAAAAAGTTTGCAATCATGTCCAGCCTGCAGTGTTTGTCAGAAAGGTTTTAAACTTGGTGTATTGCATGATGTTATGGGCGCCTACAATTTGTATATCTCGGATTTTTTATATCCGTGACCTAAGGTCAGGTCAGTGGCGTGACCTTTCCATTACAAGTCAATGGAGAAAAATGAAAATGCCTCTAGATCCATGTGTACGCATAGGAACAGTCCAAATATTTCAGAATCACAATGATTTGGACCATCCATGATGACCAAGGTGTCATTTTTGCTAATAGCCTCTAGAAAGGTCATCCGAGGTCATTTGAGGCTACAAACAGATTTTTGCCAATAACTCGCGATTGGAAAGAGATAGAACGCTGGGGATGGTCTCATTGTGTTTGTCTTGTTGAGACGCATCGACTGATATGCAACATGACCTTTTCCGGTCAGGTCATGACCTTGACCTGAGGTCAAATTTTCAAATTGACCTTTCAAGGTCAAATTATAGTTCATTCGACGCGTCTCGGCGAGAGGAACACGATTCTGGCAATAGAAATGTCGTGGCTTTTTGTAGTCGAATGTTGTTGACGAAAAACACTTTTCGTAAAAACAGCTATTTTTTGAGTTTTTGCCCTCTGGAGGCTAAACCGTTGACCTGAAGTCAATTTTGATAATAACCTTATCAAAAGAACAGTTCAAAAACTATCGATTGCTTTTTCATGCGTTTTTCTAGCTACCATAGTTCCTGAGATAACGGCATGTTTTCTGAAAAATATAATGACCATTTGCAAATTTTGACCTTTGATGACCTCTGGTGACCCCAATATTGCTCTAAGATGAAGAATGACTGAAATACTTTTAAACGTACGCATTGAGAGCTAGCAACTGCTTTTTACCGCGTCTTTCTAGCCCGCTTAGTTTTTGAGTTTGAGGTGGGTGGTAACATATGCCCCCCCCCCCCACTAGGGCGAAGTTGGCTGAGACCGCCGCGCGGGTTAACTGTAGGTTCGCATACAAAATAATATTTCAGGTCTGTCGAAAGTCTTACGATAGCACGCTGTCTAAGTTCGAGTGAGTTCATCCCAGCGTGAGCACGCTCCTTGTGCAGTCAGATCCGAGCTGTGTTTTGTCAGATTCACAGTCCCTCTGTAGTCTGTTAGATCTTGTCACCTCCACGGACCACCACCACGGACCACGATCTGAGTCACTACGACAGGTCACTCCCGCAGCCGTAGATTGCTCCGCTGGACGCCAACTGAAGTGGTATACGGAAGCTACAGACCCACCAAAGCTACTGAGGTGTACAGCCCAGAAAGGACTGCCCAGACCAGGGGATAATCACGGAGCCTGCTACTCAGTCTGGACTGTCTCAGACGGCACAGATCATGGCAGTCGGCAGGCATGCGCGGCGGTGAGCTGACTGCTCAACTGCTCCATCTCAACTGCTCCAGTCCAGTGGGTCGGTATTCTGATGGCCTGACCGCGGTAGGTGGCGAAGCTACAGTGTGCTGAAAATCTGTTTTGTTCCGGTTTTGAAGAGCTGTTCTCAAATTGGAGAAAACATTACATTGGTTAAAATAAAGAAGAATCTGAATGTTTGAGCTCTCCAGCAGGGTTAAGCCAACATCTCACCGACTGCAGGCGTTTCCCGAGCATGTTTCTCCATGTGATGGCCCTGTCCCCGGCCTTGTTTCCCCATGTGCCCCTTGCTTTCCCCACTTCCTTTGTTTCCCAAACCTTGTTCCAAGTCTAGCCTGGGACAGTGTCTCCGGGCCGGCGCCACAGCGTATTTTCTAAATGGACGCTTCCCCGTCCGATGACTGTCTGTTTCCATGGTGCTTCTGGCAGTGTTGGCGGGTCCCCTGTCGCCGCTGTTGCCGCCATTCGCTGGGGTTTTCCCAGCCTCAGATGCTGTGAACGAGTGGGTCCGCCCGATGTCCGACAACAGAGGCGGATCGCAGTGTCGTCGGGTAGGGTCGAGACTGAGTAGAAAGTAAAAAAAGTTTTAAAATGTTTCGCTTTGGCGATGGGCACTGGGTAGCCCTAACGGTATTCGTTTCGACTTCCGGGCTCATTTCTTTGGAGATACGCAACAGCAACTAGAATTGAGAAGCCCTTGAAAAATTATGGCATAATCCAGATGCCATTTTAATCCAGTTCGCCAGACCTCGGGCACATGGATTTGTAAATTGGCGCTTAGTATATTAAAGGTTAGGATGAATTCTAAGATTAACTTATGCAGTGCATATTTTGCATGCACATAATAACTCATTTGTGAGACAAAGGCACTATTTGTAAGCACCACTTATGGCAGGACCACCTGCACGCTATTAGCAGCATAATCAGCAGTTGTAGTCGCGTATAAGTAATTTATTAGCCAGCGAAGCACCTACCCGAAAACACGACAGAAGACGCCATAAAGAGCGTAGAAGGTGCTGCTAGCAAACCTGGTCATTGCTTACAACATACAGTGACGGGGAGACCCAGAGGGACGGCGATCTATAGGCTACTGTCGTCTGTCGCTGTTGAACAGACAGTAGCCAGTGAAAGTTATTAATGATTTTCAGCCGGCAACGGTGGTCAGCACATGCACTGCAAGCATTAATTAAGAGTTCTTGCATGTTCACTCTAAACAGTAATTCCCTCAACTTGATCCGCATCCATGCATTCCCATCCCTTCTCGGAGAGATTCAGCTGAATGCTGACATGAAAATCACGGACACCGCTGACCAAAGCAGTTGGAGGGTGCCCACTGAGCTGGCAGTGCGGGCGGCGAGCGGCCCCGGCCCGTCGTCTGGTCATGGTGCTGTGACTTGCACCAGAGAGGGAAACTGGGCCGCCCACGGCGGCCGGCCAGTGCGCGCCGGGGGTGGTGTAACGCCTCAGTGACGCCCACTTCCGGGCACGCCGTTCGCGCTGTAACGCGCCGTCAGCACCGGCTCTCCCAGATGGAGCGGGAGACCTCAGACGTGGCACGGTCAGACCGCCAGACTGTCAGACTCCTAGACGGAGCAGCAGACTCTCAAAGGCATGGCGAATGGATGGACAGACTACCGGACTGCAGACGGCCACAGACGGCTGCAGACGGCAGCCCTCAGACATAGTGGTAGGCAGGCCGGACTGTCAGACTGTCAGACGGAGCAGCAGACTCTCAGAGGTATGGCGAATGGACGGACCGACCGCCAGACGGAGCGGCAGGCTTTAGACGTGGCGAACGGCAGGTCAGACTGCCGGACTGCAGACGGCCAGACGGAGCAGCAAAACTCAGGCATACCCTTAGACCCTTAGAAAAGAAAATAATGCTAAATACTTTTTATTAACAGCTAAGACATTGATTTTGTTTTCCATTTAGGCATATAGTTTTGGGTTGTCTTTCGTGGTTTTCTTTCACGCAAAACAAACGAAATACCTCTTGGTAGCAAAAATAATGGGCGGTGCTTAAATTCTGTCGTAATCAATTAGTGGTCATAACTCATAAGTAACTAGCATGATATATAAGCCAATACTATCAAGTCAGCAAAGCTGAGTCATCAAATAAGCAAATGAAAATTAGGTCATCTCTTTTTCCAATCGTGATGTGAAAGACGCTTGTGGATCCACACCTCTTCCGACTGAACTGGCTGACCAAACGGTTGGTCTGTCGGAGGTCTCCATTAGCCCGCGCGGGGCTGGGGTCTCCAGCCGAACGCGCGGGGCTGGGGGGGGGGTAAATTTTACCCCCCTGTTATCTTCCGAACTAATGGTCCGATTTGGAAAATTAAAACGCCAATCGAAAGATCTCATCACGAACAACTAAAAACATGTACTTAATTTAAAGTTTGAGGTCAAGGTCAAGGTCAGGTCAAGGGTACAAATTGCAAGTGTCTACAGTATCGGCCTTGCACCGTAGTTGCCGAAGAATGGAGTCATGGACTGAGACTGATTGCCCAAAACGTGTTCTTAGGCTACCAAGACAATATTCGTTGCATACAATATCATTCAAAGGTCAAGGTCAAGGTCAGGTCAGGTCAGGTCAGGTCACCAAAAACAAAATATAGAAAAGGGCATGTGCGACACATGTTTTATGGGTCATTTTACTCATAGAATTCAATAGGCACACTCAATAAGTGATATGGACCACCTCTGGATGAATTTCAGGTCGAGGTCAGGTCAAGGTCAGGTCAAGTGAGGTCAAATTTTGAAGTTGGTTGTTAAGGCCTAAAAAGGTGTCTATCTGATGCAGTTTTTCACGGCGAATCGAATGGTGCTATTTTTGTTTCCGTAAGAGGTCTAGCACTTCCAAAAAAATCATTTTTCAAATTTTTTGTGTGTCGTGACGTCATAAAATTTTGAATAACTCCCACATTTCTGAACCGATTCTTCTAAAAATTGGTATGTAGGTGCACATAGACCAATTCTCTGACATATATTCCGGTTTTTCGATACACTCAAAATTTTGGATTTTATAATTATTTTCCCAAAGAAATCAGTTTTTTGAAAAAATTTGGGCCAAAATCCAAAATTTTCAAAAAAACGAGATAGCCATTTGATAGACAAAATAGAATTACGTATAACCTTTTTTGTTACGTCTTGATTCCTTTAAAAATGAAGATGTTAGCGGCGTTTGAAACGTTGCCGTTTTTGAGGCGAAAATGGCGAACATGACGTCACTAAAACGTCAATTTCTC